TAAAAGGCCACCAGGTTGGTCTGACAGGACCTGCCACTGATGAACCCGTGTTGGTTGCCCCTAAGCATGCAGTCCCCTGCTGGCCCCTCCTGGATGTGTGCCAGAATAATTTTCTCAAACAGCTTGCCTAGGATCGAGGTAAGACTAAAAGTGTTATGCTTTCCACTTCCTTGCCTCATCTTCTGGGGGAAGAAAGAAGTCAGGAATGTCTCTAGACATAGTAGACAGCTTTATGGGGAAGTGTAGCCAGAAGTAATTTCTTTCAGTCTAGTTATAAAGTAATTCCTAGCAATATGGGGCATGATTAATAATGTCACACCTCCCAGAATTAAGATTGGCTCAAAAATCATGAAAAATTCTCTATAAAATAAAATATTTCGCATTTTTTCCTTTGCCTTCCAGTGTCTGTGTCTTTATAGTATGTTCCACTCACATTTTCAACCTGCTCTCTGCAATTATGAGTGATAGGGACTTTCTCTTTCTTAGGAAAAAAAAATAACTCCAAAGCAGAGATACTTAAGTGATGTCTTGATGATACAATTGAGGTTTTAAGAAAAACCCCAAGTATCATCAGAGTTGCAATGAAATTATAATCTCTGGAAATGCTGGGTTGGCAGGGACGCATCCTCTGTGTCCACCATGCTAACTGGACAGAGGGCAATCCTTTAACCCAGTGGGCTCAATATTGTCTTCCTGAAAGACTAAGATTCCCCTGTAAAGTTTTGAGGAATAAATGGAACTCATTGCCACAAAAAACTATTGGGGAAACCTGATTAGTATGACTGTAAAAATAATTAGATGTCTATAAATAAGAAAAATATCTACATTTGTACTTACTGGGAAAAATGAAAATACTTGTCTATCAGCTGAATGGCAGTAGGGATCAGATAGTAATAGTTTCTTATGAAACAGCATTGTGCATCTTCTTCACTGTCACCAGAACAGATTAGGAGACATAAATCATAGGGTAGGATTAAATGGTTAATTCTCACTATGGCAAAAGTTAATTGTAAGGTAGCCCTGAATCCCCTGTGTTTTAGTGTATTTAAATATCTGGAAAAGAGAGATAATAATGAGGTAGCAAGATCTGCAGATGGCAGAGCATTATTTCAGTTTTTCAGGAGCAGATTGACTTTGAGGGATTAAACCAGCTAGGTGATTTGGCAATATGGTTGAAAATGAAATTTGTTGTTGACAAATGCAAAGGAATGTACCCTTCTTGGAAAAATGTAAACTATACTTGCCCCATACAGCTTCCTGAATTAACTGTATTGGTTCAAGAAAGTGACCTATATGCCACTGTAGGCAGCTCAGTGAAAGCCTCTGGCTCAATGTACAGCTGTAGTCAAAAAATCCAACAAAATAGCAGATAGAAGAAACAGGATGGTGAAAAACATTCCTTTGTGGAAGTCAGTGGTACAGGCTGATTTGGATTACTGTGTATAATCCAGATTGTTGCAGAGTTAAAAGTGATTCAAAGGAGAAAAGGATGATCCAGGCTATGGAAATATTCTCATAGGAAGAGATTTTGCAAATATCAGAATTGTTTACTATATAAATGAGATTACTGGAAGAGAACATGTCTCTGCATATGGCATAGTGCTCATGGTTTTGGCTCCGTGGGCCAGATGACTGGCATAGGGCCAGTCCTTGAGCTGGATCGGACCCTGCGCCACCCTCACATACTAGGATCAGGCCCATGGTCCCTGCACTGCCTCCTCCCAACCCCCACCCAGCCAGGATCAAGCTCCAGGGCACTGCTCCTTCTCCCGCTCCCGCTCCCGCTCCCACACTGCTCCTGTTTGTCTGGGATTGGGCTCCAGGGCCCTATGCTGCCCCTGTCTGACCAGAATCAGGCTCTGGGGCCCTGTATTGCCTCCACCTGGCTGGGATCAGGCTGCATGGCCCTTTGCTGCCTCCACCCAGCTGCAGCTGGGCTCTGCACTGCTCCTGCCTGGCCCCCTCATGTCAGGATTGGGTCCCATGCCACCTTGTGTGCCTGATCTAGTGTGCAGGACCACAGTTGCCAGGGCTCTCCACAAATCCATGGGTAGCCCCACAGGCCAAATAACATAGTGTCAGGGGCCAGATCTGGCCCATGGACTGGGGGTTAAGCACACCTGGTCTAGACTATTGAATGGTCTGAATGAATGCTGGAGACAGATCAGAGACTTCTGTTCTCCCAGTCTTATAACACAAGAACAAAGAGATACCTCATGAAATAAAAATGTGTAAAATTAAAAAGGAACTCCTTTTTAATACAACGTGTGATTAAGCTGAAGAACACATTACCACAAGGAGTTGTTGAGGCCAAGAATTTAACAAGCTCTAAAAGGGGATTGGCCATTTATATGGTTGTCAAGAATATTCAGCATTAGCATAATTTAGTGGTAGTAAAAATGTTGGAAGGATAATAAACTCTGTGTTTCAGGATTTACACCAATCTATAAATATTAGCAATCATGATAAGCTGTAATTACAGGGCTGATTATCCCACTGCTAGCTACTGCAGAGTTCCTGCAATCCCCTTTAAAGTGTCTGGGACCAGCTTCTGGCAGAGATAGGCTACTGGGATAGATGGACCTTGGAGCTGACCCTATATAATAATTACTATCAAGATACTGAACCCAATTCCATTGAAGTCAATGCGAGTGCACATGGGCTTTAAGTACATAAGTTACTGTTGCATGAAGGGTGCTAGCATACATGGACCTTTGAAATAGTCTTGTTTGAGAATTCAAGCAAAATTTAATAAAATATTTAGTCATCTACAAGTCAGGAATTGCAGCGAATTCAGGAATTGCATTTATGTGGTATTCAGGAATTGCAATTCAGGAATTTCAGTGAAGTCAGGAATTGCACTTGTAGGCATGTGGCTGCTGAAATGTAGAACCCTGTATGAGGTACATAGGCTCCCTACACAGTGCATGGGGAAATACAGTACCCAGAAAAACAACATGCTGAGCAGGAAGCTGCCTAGAACTAGCCAACTGGAAACAGCATAGAGGCGTGTCTGAAATCTTGCACCTGTGTGCATGGTAAAGCCACAGCCTAGAATCCTTTCCTGAGAGTTTATGCCTACCCCATTCTTTGAAAGAACAGGTCAGGACTTGCATTTTCTTGCTCTCCCTCATTCTCTTTCTCTTTTTTAAAAAAAAAAAGAAGCACAGCCAGGGGAAAAAGTGGTGTGGCCTTCACCAACATTGTGGTGAGACAGTTTGCTCAGGAAGTGGGCAGACTAGGTTCAGTTTCCTTCTCAGACTGAAAGCCATATCTCTCACTTCCCTGGAGAGTACCCTCACTGCAAGGCTTTAAGGTTTTTGTGGGGAGGAGAAGGGGCAGGGATAGAAGGACTTGGCACTCTATTCTTCATGTTGAAGCTGGGCCCCTGTGCAGAAAATAATTCAAGATTCATGTAAGCGGGTTAGTGAGCCTGCTGCCTTGAGGGCTGGCTTTGCTCCCAAAAATGCTCCTTAGCCAGACCTTTAAACACAGAAACACATTCCTTGCATTGAACAAACAAATAAACCAGTAACCAGAAATCTTTAGCCCTTCTCCAGCAATAGAAAGGGCTTTAGCTTTGTCCCAGTACAATAGTGTGGCCCCTTCCTGGTAGCAACCTTATTTGAATTTCAGTTTGCCTCCTGCCTGTAAACTGCTTCTTCACCCAGTCTGCTGCCCTCTGCCCTCTCCTCTGGGTTTTTTACACTACAGATGGCATACTCCAGCTTTTCCCAATGGATGATCACAGTGTTGAGTATTCTCATTAAGTAAAAACTTGAAACTAATTCTTACCTCAGTAAGCTAGAACACCAAAACTGTCTCAAGAGCTGAACTAGTGATTCTTTTTAACTCAAATTAGACTAAAGATCAAGTGCATTCCACATTTCAGGAGTGTGGGCATTCTACATAGCTGCTCTTAGATGAAGAATGTGAAGACTGATGGTTAATAGAGCACCCATTGCCATTGCAGTCATAGCATGGGTATTGTGCACAGCAGCTTGTCAGTTGAGGGATTTTCCATTTTTGTTGAATTATTTTTTACTTTTATTTTATGTACATTCCTTTATACAAATACAAATTAACAAAAATGCATTACTATTTGGCATCACTTTTAGCAGAGGAAAAGAGAAAACTACGAGTCAAATCTGATAAGCAATGGCTTGGAACTTGAAGCAACAAGATCGGTGAGTAATGTTTCCTTTATGTGGGCAACCATATCTAAGTTCAGATTTTGGCACCATCTGGATAAGGAGATGAAGTCTGTAAATGAACTATAGCATTTTTCTTTCTCTTTGTTCGTAGGAGATCAAAGGTTTCATTTTGGTTGCTTTCTCTACTCCTTGTTCAGCAGCCAGAAACCTCTGAGTTATAGCAGGGTATCTGTCATTGACTTGCTCTGTGGCAGCTTGTTTTCCCTTCCCCTGCCCACCACTCTTTGAAGAGAATTCTGCTTTGTGCTGTTAGGACACATAGATGTCCTATTCATTTCAGGGGGCAGCACTCAGTTACCTAGGGCTACAAGCAGGTGTTGCATTTGTCTCAGGAGAAACAATTTTCTATGGGACAAAGTATAGTGATTCAGACACCCATGCCCATTGTCCTGGGTTAAACCCTAAAAGGGTTAATGGGATAACAAGTACTAACAGTTTGCCCAGGATATTGTGATGTGTGTCTGAATGTTTATCCTGGGATTGCATCATTCAGTCAGTGGCAGAAAAGCAGGACTTTTTTATTCCAGGAAAAACATAGGCACAACATGTCCCAGGACAAGCCCATTTCTAGCTTAAGAGATACATTAATTGGAATTCTACTTCTCCCTGACTGTATAAAGACATATCTCAACAGGAATTCTGACAAAGCAGATTGATATCTACATGGACAGCAGCATTAGGCTTCTCTTCTGTCTCCATGAATAGCTTAAAGATCAGAGACCTGAGTTTTAGGCTCCCTTCAGCTTTGGAAATTGAACCCATACCTCCTATGTCCCAGCAGAGTGTCCTAACCCTCCCAGGTATGGTGCAGACATACCTGTGAGTATCTTCTATCCTGCTCATCTTATCCACTAGGCAAGACACCTCTACTTGCCCATTCCAGGACATGATTTGACCTTTAGACTGTAGTGGCTCTGATTGCAAGAGAGAAAAATTTTAAATACCAACATGTAAATACCATAAGCCTTTTACCACCTGTAAACAGCCAAGCTAAAAACACTTGTCCATAAAATCTTTAAAAAAAAGTGTGCTATCTGTAACAACATGAAGCATTCAGAGCTGATTGAAGCTCTTTGGTAGGGGAAGAAAGTAGGACTCAGTGGGCTCTTACAAAGTTACATTTTTTATGTGATTGGGCCCCTGAAAGTGCCATGCCATAATACATATGCACAGCTGCAGAGCGCTTTTTAAATGGCTGATCACATGAAAAATTAACCTGCCTCAAATGAGGTGTTAGATAAAGGTGCTCTAAAGCAGAGCGCCTTAGAGAATATGTGTTCCCTCCAGGGTTAATTTTTCATGCTTTGTAGGGCTGTCAGTGGAGGAGGGGGGAGGAGGAGAATGGAGCAGCATGGAGCTGTTGGCTGGGCTTGGCCGGGCTGGAGCTGGTGGGGGAAGGGGGTGGAACAGAGCCCTCTTACCTCATGGTCCCAGCCCAGCTCCCCACAATACCCCAGACAGCTCACCGCCTCCCCTCACTCCAGCTCCAGCCAGGCTCTGTGCTACTTCCCCCAACTCCTCCCTCCCCCGCTGATAGCCCTGGAACTGGAGAGGGGAGTGGGGCTGGGGAGCAAAGTGATTCAGCAGCCTCCTTGGAGGCTGCTGGAGCACCCCTGCCTGCTGTCCAGGGCCAGTGCAGGGAGGCTCAATCCCCTCAGCCCAACTGGAGAACATCTGTGACGGGAGCGGGGAGAGAGTGCTCTAATGCATGGTGCTAGGACTTAGAACAGGTCCCCCAAACGTCTGTAGGCACCCAGTGTTGAAACACAGACAGAGCACAGCACCACCACCAGCTGCCTTGAGAAGTGAAGCACCCTGGAGGGAGCTCTTCTCAGGATTTGGGGCTCAAGAGATTCTCTGTACCTCCTTCCCCAACCCCCAGTCATGTGCTGGTGCTGTTGCATCCTGTCTGCCTCAAATACTGTGGCACGCAGTGGAGGTCCATTCCATGATGGGGGGAGTGGGGCCAGCAGGTGTAAGACTAGGAGCTGGACTGGGGGGACAGTATGGTGCAGGTTACGGTTGGGGGCTCAGGGTGTTCGGGTGAGTAGAGGACCTCGGTGGGGTGTAAAATGTTTGCTGTCATCAAGTAGGGTTACCAATCTAAGAACATTTTTTTACTGATAATCTGAAAACATTTTACTGATGACCAAATTTTTTATTATGATTTAAATTTGACCTTTGTCCAGGGTCTGGCAGAAGGGTTACATTTACGTTTCGTAAAACTTGTCAGTCAAAACATGTGTCAGTACAAAAGTTTGCAGGTTGTCATTAGGCAGACAATGTTTGTTGGGTAAATGTAATATCTTTTATTAGACCAACTCAGTAGTTGGAAAGATTGTTCTTTGCAAGCTTTTGGGCACAAACATCCTTCAGGCATTGGAGAGAGTCAGGTTGTCATTAAAAATTTGTCTTGGGTTGGATACCAGTCCAATACTGAATATCCTGCAACATGTATGTGTTGTACTTTCTTTGCTGGTTTTGATAATTCTGCCATGCTCATGGACTAGGATCTTTTTAATAATTTGTAGGTTTATAGAAATATAGTGTAGGTTTATAGAAATGTTAATAAATGATTATGCAGAAAGCTTTGTTAAATTACTTTGTAATATTTTACAGAAATGTTACCCTTAAAGCAACGATTTGGTGGTGTTTTAATAATACCATTCTATCCAGAATGTTCTCATAGCCTACCTCTAGCAATGGAAGTGAATGAGATGTTCACTATAATGGAAAAGGAATACAGTCCTGAATAGGTCTTCCATGGGCTTTAAAAGGATGGGGAAAGCTTGTAGTTTAAAAGATTTTTAAAACTTTTTTGATTTAATTTTTCACACAAACATATTTTTAATATGCTTACCTTTCAGGTCTTGGATGAACATCTTATTTTTGTAAAAGTGCATGCACCTTGGGAAGTGCTATGCACATATGCTGAGGTTATGCACATCAAATTACCTCTGCAGCCCAATGACCTGAAAGCCCAAGATTCAGCTTTCAGCTGGTTCAGTAGACTCTTCAGAGTGGATGAAAATATCATCAAACCAGAGCAAGAGTTTTTCACTGCCCCATTTGAAAAGGACCATTTGTCTAACTTTTACATTCAGGACAAAGACATGTTCTTCAACCCTGCAACCAGAAGCCGAATTGTAAGTTAATATAAAGGTTTATTTGCCTAAATCTGTTTATTTCTATTTCCAACAGAAGCAGCACAACCATCATTGCTACAAAAAAAAAACCCTCCCAAAACCTCATTGGGCAGTGCACGGGTGTGGGGGAATGGGCCCAGAGCCAAAGGGGTGGGAAACGGCCCCAGACCCGGGGGGAAAGGGATAGGGAATGGGCCTGGACCAGAACTGGCAGGGGGAGGAGGGGGAGAATGGACCCAGACCCAAAGGGCAGGGACCAGATGTGGGATGTGTCCCTGCCCACCCATCATTCTTGATGGCCAATTTGGTAGTAGAATATAAGGGGGTACTAAAATTGGGCAAAGGCCCTGTACAGTGAATTTCCCCCACAGAATTTTTATGACTATACTAACATGATTATCCTCTATATCAGGCATCAGCAGCCAGTGGCAGGCTGCTCAAACAGAGCTAGCTCCACAGGTGACTGCTGAGTATTAGCGGACTGGCACTGCCACTGCTGCTTCCCCTACTGCTGCAGTGCTACTGCTGTAACTTCCCCACAATGCCTCCTCCCCCACCAAACCATGCTAACCTCCTGCAGATTTGCTGCAGGCATCTCCCACTGCTGAATCACCGCAGATGCCTGGACTTCACTGGCTAAATCCAGTCACTTAGTGGGCTAGATCCAGTTTGTAGGTCATAGGTTGCTGACCCATGGTCTACACTGATTAATTGCAAATTGTAAGAGAGATGAGGCTTTTTTTCAGGTTTACTGTATTCTGTCCCGTGTGGAATATGAAGTTAGAGGCAATCTGAAAAAGTTTGGTATTAACAGACTGTTGGACTCTGGGATCTACAAGGCAGCATTTCCTCTTCATGATGTAAGTCTAATGCTTGGAACAATTCTTTATTGACAAATGCAGGTATGAATGTTGAGGGCATATGTATGAGTCCCATACATCTGGACATTATGGATGATTGAAGCAGGACTGGACAAACATATCTCCCTTGAAAAGTTTTCCTGTGGAAAATGGGAGGTTTTAACTAAAGGTTTGCTGTAGTTTGTTTATTTATTTTTAAAAAGCATCTGCTTTTCTCAAAGAATTTTGTTTATTCACAGAAAAATCAAGTTCCCAGAAGCTGAAATATTTCAGCTGAAAATTCAAATATTTTGCTTTGAAAATGTTACCAATGTGTTGCATGAGGACAAGGCAGTATGACTGGGCACTTTTCTCATCAAGGAACACCAGCTACAGTTCCTGTGAGGCACTTCTGGCAGCATGTCAAAATCAAAGGGATTTTTTGGCTTTCAAATGAAATTATTTGGTATTTAAATTTCCACTGGGGAAATCCACAAAAAATGACATGGAAACTACAAATTTTTCTACAAAAAATGAAACTAAAATATATTTTTCTGATTGATATTTTTTGCAGATGTCAAAGAGCTGTCTTTGTAGGGCATTCCACCCATTTCACAATTTGGTCTTACAAACCCAAGCCAGACCTCCACTTCGAGTGGACCTTCTGTGCATCTCTGCACGGGAGTCTTTTTCAGGGAGTGCCTTGAGTCTAACAAGGGATCCCTTGCATCTGGAAAGGCTGAGAACCACTGGCTTAGTGGGATACAGTTGTTACGTGCATTCTGTTTTGCAGTCTTGTTTCAGGCACAAGTCAGAGGATCCCAATTGTCCCAGTGAACGATATCTTCTGTATAAGGAATGGGCTCACCCTCAAAAAATTTTCAAACTGCAGCCATTAGACTTTGTCAGGTGGGTTTCAGTGTGATCAGTTCAATACACAGGGACCTAAAAAGTCACATCAAATATTCCCTTTTTGGTACATTGAAGATTCAGGGTTTGCTTATTATAGACATATATACTTATATCAGCCTATGCATTGGATCAGGCTCTGTTTTTGAGTATCTGAGATATAGGTACATGTATATGTAACTAACCAAAATTGAACTTCTATAACAAGTGATCTCATTTTTGGAAACTGCATTTGGGAAGGAGACATTCTATGCAAGCATAAAAATGGTACACATTCACAGATATAGTAAGTTACACTTTGCAATCACATAGTCATGCTATAAAAATATGAAAATAGAGTCTGGCTCACAATATTTGGAATAGGAAGCTATTTGAGAAAGGAATGTGGAGTTATTGCATCTTGAAAGAGTATTTTTCCTCCTCACCCCAACAGGAAATATTATGGAGAGAAAATTGGAATCTATTTTGCTTGGCTTGGTTTTTACACTCAGATGCTGTTACTGGCAGCAGTAGTTGGACTTGGCTGTTTTTTATATGGATGCATAACAAAGGACAACTGCACATGGAGGTACCTGATGTACAGTTCAAACATATTCTAATATATACAAAATTCTGAGTATGTACTTAAGAGTGCAGAGTTCGCTAGGCACTCAAAAAGGTACACCTTGTTAGTGCAGAGGTTCACTGAATTAGCAAATGAGCACTATTACAACAGAAATGACGAGTATATATAAAGGATGCAAGCACATTTTAGGGCCTTTTAGCCCTATGCCCCTTGTTCCCTCTTCTTCCTTTGCTCTTTTTCCCTCATTTTTTCTTTTCTCATTGTAAATGTTCCTGCCTATACTCTTTGTCTATTTTCTTCTGCCTAACAAAAAGTAAGCAAACAAAGGGCCATATCATGCCATCATCTTTTAAGCAGAACTCCCTATCAAAATCAGTGGAGAATTTTGCTGTAAGATGGATGGTCTGTTATGACCCAAAGGCTTTACAAATCAGAATTTACAGAGAGATGCACGTCAACAAAAAAAACAGCATGGAAGAAAAGGGCAGATGAGGAACATAATTAAAGCAACTAGAACATTAAAAGAGCTTCAGAAATGTACTGAAAACAATCTCTAGCTTACAAAATAAGTAAAAGGAAATAAAAAGAAAAGCAGAGACAATCAGACCCTGAAAAAATAAAAAATACAGCAGAGGATCTGAAACAGAATCAAATGATTAACATCTGTTGGGAAGCTAGGACTGTATGGGAAAGAAA